GGGTCTTAGATAGGGATGAAACAAGGGGCTAGGATCAGTTCAAAGATCAGATCAATGGTGGTGACAAGTTCGGATTCAAAGCAGATACCCAATAAAAACCGAAAACCGAAAAATCAAAAAATCGCTGCTGAATAACTCTCTGTCGGTCGACCGACGCGGTCGACCGAAACAACTTACAGAGACTTCGTCGGTCGACCGGGTCGGTCGACCGCGAGAAGATAAAAAGTGCAGGTAACTTAAAAACAAGATTTTGAAAGAATTTTTAATTTGAACCTTTAAGAAATTTGTTTTATAATATACCAAAAGTTTTATAAGATATATATATAAATGTTTTTAGCTATAAGATCATGCAAATAATTCTTTTTAGCAAAAAAAATACAATTTGTCATTAACAACTCAAAAACCAATTATTCAAAATAAGAACAAAACAAAACATTAAAAAAATAAAAATAGTATAACAATCATTTTGGTACCCAAATCATTTTGGTACCACTAGAACTTGGGACATGACCCCTATCATTTAAATCCAAGGCCCTAGGGTTATGAACCCGTATGGGCGTATTTTGTGCACCGATATGATCAAAGCAAAAATTGTAAACGTGACTCATACGATTACAATTTGTGCAATGTAGAGGTTTGAATGGTTTACGTTGATCGAAATGGAATGCACGTGGTTCATTTGCAAAAATAGATTTTTCTTTGTAATTATTTTGCAAACGAGAATTTCTTTTCAAATCGAAACAAAACGTGGTCAAATGACCAAAACGGCCACAATAATTATATTTATACACATGAGCATGTTTATAATTTACACTATGTGTGTGTACATGTGTATGTGATGAAGAAGCTTGATGGGATGCACAATCATGAATATGTTTGTCAATTTTTGGCGCATTATGACAAAATTGAGCTAAATGGCCTTTAAGACCGCAAATAGAACATTTATGAATTTTGTCATACATATGTGCATAGTGAATAGGTTTCTTGGAAGAATTAACATTGAACTTTGCACATAAGTCCATAAGCTTTTTATTATTAGCAATACAAGTGTTTAGTGTTGAATCTAAGGTAGATATTTGTTTTCTCATTTGATTCAACTCATCATTGTGCATGCAAGCATTGCTACTAGAAGTAGGATAAACAAGATTACTCATCATAGATTTTAACTTATCTACTTCTAACATAGCATCACGTTTTTCCTGAAGCAAACTAGCATTTTTAATTTTCAAATTTTCATTGCATTCTTTAAGAATTATATTTTCATTTGCAGTAAAATTAAACTTAGTAGCTAGTGTTTCATGAGTGGATTTCATATTAACATACTTACTCTTTACATCACTATAGCAATTGTGTAATTTTTTAAACTCAAGAGCAAGTCCATCAAAAGTAATAATATCATTGTTATTGCATACCTCACTAGGGTTATCACCTAGTGGTATTGTACATGGAGATGAGACTTCCTTAGAACTCAAAGCGGGATTTTCCAATGCTTGTTGAATAGCCTCCAATTTCCCTTCATGTGCTTCAATAAGTTTCCATAAAGCGTAAGCACTATCAAAATTAGCAAATTTGTTAGAAAACGATGAGTGAAAAGCATTAATCAAATATTCTAATAAAATCTTATTCATGTTAAACAATCTTTTGTCATTTTCACACCATTGGGATTTTTCCAAAATGAGAACAACATAGGCATCCTTAATAATTTTCCATAAATCAAATTGTTTAGATTGAACGAAAAGTTTGAATCTAACTCGCCATTGAGCATAGGGAAAAATATCCAAACGAGGAGCAACATTAATAGCATATCCTAAGCAAGATGAATCATACATATCCATAAAGATGAAATGCAAGAAGCATAATGTAATCAAAATTAGATTAGCACAAATACAATAACTTGGATCTTTAACTCAAGGCGGTTAGTCCTTAAATCGAAGAGCACCAAGCTCTGATACCAATTGTTAGACCCTAGAGGGGGGGGTTGATTAGGGTCTTATGCTAATCTAATTCCAATTAAAAGCTAATTAAAATTATGTTGATCAATTTTATCTTGCAAGAAGAAATATGATATGGATTTGAACAATAATGATGAATAAAATATACGCTAAGCAAAACACAAACACACAATATGTTTACAAGGTTCGGTCACCATGACCTACGTCCCCGCTCCTCACCTCGAGGAGATATCCACTATCACAATCCGGTTTGGAAGCCGGAACTTCTACACACTCGGTTTACAAGATCACCGAAAACTCTCACACTACACAAACACTATGCAATCACACTTTACACACTAAGTGTAGGAACCTACCCCGTGTCCTCCTCCTCAAGTGCTCGATTACAACCTCTCCCTAGGTTCGTCAATCGACGCCACTCCTATTGGATTTGACCCCGTGTCTCGCCTCACACTTCTCTCGGTGTACAAGTGTATTACAAGTGATTCTCACAAATAAAAGTTAAATACAATGATTTGTTCTCAAATAACAAGTGAGAACACAATGAAGCTCACACTCACTAAATCCCACACCACAACCCACAATATAATATGAGAATATAAAGCTCAATAAGTGTGTGTGATAATAGTAAATAAAACTCAATAAATAACTCAATGAATATAGCTAATCAAATGAAAGTGAAATAGTAAGCTATATGGAAAGAGTTTAGAAAAACTTCTCAATGAACAAGAGGAGCTGAAGAATATGATCCCAATGGAATATGAGAGCCTCTTCTTGTTGTAGAAAACTTTCTCTTGAAAAAAGATTAACGAAACACTTCTTAAACAGCTCTTAAACGTGATTAATATCTTGCTAAACAACATAAAACAACTGAGCTTAGGAAAATATAACTGGCGGTCGACCGCACCGGTCGACCGAAAACTGACATATAGCATATTGACAGGTTTTGGGGCTGTTTTGAAAATTCATTAAAAATATCAAATCAAATCCAAAAATAATGAAACTTTGGGGAAAGTTTCTAAATGATAAAATAAACATGTTTGAAAAGGAAATTTTTGAAAATCAAATTTGAAAACTCCCTGTTTTTGAAAAGTGTTCAGAAAACCTGTTTTTCGTGAACATAAAAATTGACATGAAGCTTGTAAATATGTATATATATATTGAGCATGTATTATATGTATATAATGAAGTATGAAGGAGCTGTAAACATGAGATAAAAGTTATTGTAACAACGTTTGATGAAAAATCATTTATATGATAGAAAACGTCAAAAATCGTGTTAAGTGTACATATATTGAGCTTAGATATAATCATACAATATATGTAAGTAAACCAAACATATACCTAACGTTTGATGAAAAATCATTTATATGATAGAAAACGTCAAAAATCGTGTTAAGTGTACATATATTGAGCTTAGATATAATCATACAATATATGTAAGTAAACCAAACATATACCTAGGAAAATCCACACAAATGAACTTGAATGTTTAACGTTTGATTGACGTGTGTTGAAATACTTGAAAAGAAAAACATAAACACAAAAACTAGAGAATATATTAGCGATAAATTATTTGACAAATCATCATCAAAACTATAGGGTCAACAAACACCCTAAAAAGCTACACTAACTAAATCCCATGTTTGATATCTGACATCAACAACACTATAAGAGCGAAAACTGTGAGCTCACTCGATGAGCCATCAACTATAAAAAAAAAGTTAAGAATGACGAATTCGCCATGTTGTCTCTCTAGTGTAGAAGCGGTTTGGGAATAGTTTAGATACTACTTTTGACAGTAGAAGGGCATGAAACCATAGCTTTTCGAATTCTGGGGCTGAAAGTAATTTTCCCTTGTTTAATTGGAAAATATATTTCACTACATGCCAGTATGCCACCACTGACCAGTGACCACTCCTATTAAATGTTCTCAAACGAGGCACAATCAAGGTGTCGGTCACATGTCAGATCTCCGTTCCGTGCATTCCCGCACGGAAACGTTCAAACTTTATTTTATCCTAATTTTCCCATTATTTAATTACTAAATAATAAATAATTACATATGCGATAATAAAATAATATACTATTTATCTCCACCTTTACGTGCCCAGAGGTTTCTCCGTCAAAAAGCATTCAAGTAAACAGACAGCGACCCCACCTACTCAACCCCTTTGCTTTAAAAACTCCATCATGGAATTCCCTTCCAAATCTACCCTTGTATTGGAAAATATTTACGGATGTAACCTTCGTGTCAAGTGCCGTCCTACTTCAGGTACATTATCTAACATGAAAACTATGCATATATGTAAATGTTTGGGTTACCGCGGGAAGAGAACAGTTTCTTCTACTCTACCTAGGAATCTACATCTTAAAAGTTTGGGTAAAGTTCAAAAATACCCCTAAAAATTGGGGAGGTTTGTAGGAGTCCCCATAGACTTCCGGAAATTTCGCAAAAATGTGTGAGGGTTGGAGAATTTCACAAAAGTCGAGCTTAAGCCCTGAATTTTTATCAATAAAATAGTTTGATCGTCGTATGTCATATTAGAGATTTGTGATCGCCATGTTAGTTATAAATATCAAATGGGTGTAAAAATCCCATTGTTTTCTATTAGATTTTGATATCCGTAGCATATTTTTTGTTTTTTTTGCTTCACGCACATTCTATTCAATATTCGGTCTAGACAAAGTAAGATCTTGAGTGCGTGATTTTCAGCATCATCGTACACATTAATACAACATAACTCTTGAAAATGCAATCACAACCCCAAACATCCCCTCAGTAACTTTTCCAACGTTCTGTAGGATTTTGAGAAACTCTCCTCGGATTAGGGGTCATGTGAAATTTTCAAAGTAAAGATAGGGCTTTACACAAAACCCTCAAAGTTGAGTGGCTTTTGTGAAATTCATTCTACAGGTTTCACTAAAAAAAATGACACGAGTCCCTCCGATAAATAGATTAAGATCCCAAGGGCATTTTCGTTAAAATGTGAAAATCACAGTGCGGGGTTATAAATTACGGGAACAGAGCGGTGAAAGATTCGCGCTCAGCCATCCGTCGCTCTCTCCAATCTCTCTCTCTCACTACCCACCCCTCTCTCTCTCTCTCTCTCAAAGTGTGGAAAAGGCGAGGCCTTGGCTTATTCCTAAACCCTAAGAAGCCAATTGCTGTCACCCGAGATTTCGTATCAGGAAAGGCGATCTAGATCTCGGTTAGGGTTTCGGCGTTGGATCCTGCGCCAGATCTGCTGAAAAGGGCGCGATCGATCTCGGGGTAATGCGGTCGGAGTTCGAGCGGTGATTAGAGGTAGGTGCATTTGGGTTTAGATTCTGTTTTGTTTTCTGATTTTGGTGAATTGCCGGTTTTCTCGATGGATTAGGGTTAGATTGGGGATTTTTGGTTATTTATGTGAAATTTGAGGGAAATTAGGTAATCATACGTGTTTGGGGTGCATTTTTGGCTTTTACTTCGGGGGTTTTTTTTTGGAAGAAAGTTGGTGTGTTTTGATGTAGATTGGCTTCCTTTGTTTGGCGAAGTAGGTTTAGATGGGGGATTTTGGGTCGAAGCTAGAATTTGAGGGAAATTAGGTTAATCTTCTGATTTTGTTTTAAATTGCACATATTTAGGGCACATCTCCAGCTATTAATTTGGTTTCTTGAAGGGATTGGTATATGTTGGAAAGGATTGGCTTTCTGAGGTTGAGGGGATATGATATAAGGTTCACTTTTGAATCTATGTTTAAGTTCACAATCAGAAAATTTTAGGTTGTTCTGATGAATTTTGTTTGGTTTTTTAGGATATGCTTTCTGTTGAGACTTTTTGTTTATTTGCATGTAGTTTTCTTAAAATCGATCTGGCTGAATCTGAAACTTTTTGTGGTTTATTGAGCTTGATTGCTTTTTTGGTCTAACTTTCTGATTGTTTCTATTTATTTTTCTCTCTAGCGGGATTGAGCATTTGTGGCTGAATTCTTTTTTTTTAATTATTTGGCCTTCATATCAAAGGGAGATGAACTTCCTCCAGTCCGCCAAATTATGTTGATCTTGAGGAGAATCTGGGAGCCAAGTTTTGTCCTTCAAATGCATCCTTTCTTCTGTTTTTAATGAAATCCAGCCAAATTTTGCTGCAGTAATTTTGGTTCTTCTCGTGGCTAGTGTGGAGCTGCTTCATTCTCTTTTTTTTGTCTTTGAGGGAAGAATAGTCTCTGCCTCAACATCAAAAGGAGAAGAAGAAGCTAACCCTCTTGAAGAGAAGGGTGCTCTAGTAGACGAGTAGAAGGCCTGATCTTTCTTCAGCCACTTACAGTTTTAAGTCAGAGTCATAGTTTTGAGAGCATCTCGGTGGCTTGCTCTGCTCAAGATGGAAGACAGCTAGTGACGTGGAATACCATGGAGCTGCAAGGCTTTCCACCGACAATAGACAAAACTCATAGGAACCGTCCTAAGAGCATGCAATTTGATGATCTCTCATCCAATGACTCGTTGAGATTGATTTATATTAATGATCCAAGGAGGACAAATGACAAGTATGAATTTACAGGGAATGAGATCCGAACCAGTAAATATACTGTAATTACATTCTTGCCCAAGAACCTGTTTATCCAATTCCACCGATTTGCTTATTTATACTTCTTAGCCATTGCTGGTTTGAATCAGCTTCCTCCTCTGGCAGTGTTTGGGAGAACAGTCTCTCTTTTCCCTCTGCTCTTTGTGCTTATTGTAACTGCTATTAAAGATGGCTATGAAGACTGGCGGAGACACAGATCTGACAGGAAAGAGAATAACCGGGAGGCACAAGTCCTTCAGTATGGCAAGTTCCGGCCAAAGAAATGGAAAAAGATACAAGCAGGGGAGGTGGTGAAGATAGTAGCTGATGAAACAATTCCTTGCGACATAGTTTTGCTTGGAAGCAGTGATCCAAATGGTATAGCATATATCCAGACAATGAATTTAGATGGTGAATCAAACCTAAAGACTAGATATGCACGACAAGAAACCATCCCCATGGTTTGGGAGGAGGGTTCATATTCGGGGCTGATCCGATGTGAGCAGCCCAATAGGAATATATATGAATTTACAGCCAATATGGAATATAATGGGCAGAGGATTCCATTGGGCCAGTCAAATATCATTCTACGTGGTTGTCAGCTTAAAAACACAGATTGGGTCGTTGGAGTTGTGGTATATGCTGGTCAGGAAACAAAAGCAATGATGAACAGTGCGATTTCACCTTCCAAAAGGAGCAGATTGGAGATCTATATGAACAGGGAGACTCTATGGCTGTCAGCTTTTCTCTTTGTTATGTGTGCTGCAGTGGCAACTGGTATGGGGTTATGGTTGCATTATCACGCTCATAAGCTCGATTCCCTACCTTACTACAGGAGTAAATACTTTACAAAAGGTCGGGACAATGGAAAACGGAATAAGTTTTATGGCATTGCTCTGGAGATACTTTTTTCATTCTTAAGCTCCGTGATAGTTTTTCAAATAATGATTCCTATATCGCTTTACATCACAATGGAGCTAGTCCGATTGGGCCAATCTTACTTCATGATTGGGGATGCTGAGATGTATGATAGTAGTTCCGACTCAAGGTTTCAATGCAGGTCATTAAACATCAATGAAGATCTGGGTCAAATAAGATATATATTTTCTGATAAAACAGGTACATTGACAGAAAATAAGATGGAGTTCCGAAGGGCTAGTTTATACGGGGTGGACTACGGAAGCTCCTTGCAAGGAACGAATGCAGGTTTGCTATATTATGTGTAATTCTTAATATTTCTGTTCCTAGAATGGTTGAATTTATCTGGCAATTTGGCTGAAGTTGGCATTTTGCAAGCCTGGTTGCGTGGGCATGTTATTGCTGATATTACCATTATGCTATATTGCTATTCATGGAATCAAGTACTCAACCTCATTCTTTCATGCGATCCTGTCATTCGAACTGGTCCTCTTGTAAGATCCTTATATTTGTGTTTTAAATCATTGCATTAGCTATACCTAAAGCCAATGAAATTAATTAATTAGAATAAAATAAGTTCTCATGTGATATTTTCACCTTATATTATTATTATATATGTAGATAAGATTGCATGTTCTCCATTCCGGTCCTTATGCCCATGTGTGGATTCAGAACTTTGTCCAGGGTGGCACAGGTTCAAGCCAACTGAAATCAAAGCACATATATGATATATAACATAACACCTTGGTAAGTACAGAGGAAATTTATAAAATTTATAAACTTTGTCCAGGGTGGCACGGGTTCAAGCCAACTGAAATCAAAGCACATATATCATATATAACACCTTGGTAAGTACAGAGGAAATTTATAAAATTTCATAAGAAAAATTACAGCTTTAGTTAACACAAACAATTTACTAATTCTTTCCCCAAGAAAAAGCCAACTGGTTGGAATTTATACGCGTAATTTATATGCGTAATCTAATCTGTTATACTAAAAGTAGTAAACGAAGGAAAAACATAAGACCGATATCAAATTCATTGTAGAGCACTAATCTGCAGTTTCAACTAAAATACAATGGCATAACATAATTTCTCCACTTAAGCAATTTTTTAAAGAATCTAACCACTCATCTCATTGACTGCCTACTACGTTTGGCGAGTTGTGTCTATAAAAGTTAAATTGCAACTTTTTACATGCAATTCTAAAAGACTAGGGAAGGAGTAATGATGAAAAGAAGGCTGCTTTTTTTAATCATTTCTTTTTTTAATTTTTCCCTTAAAAACATTCTGACCTCTATCCCATGGAGTTCAGAATGAGAAATAGACCCTTATAGTATGATACAGTTGATTAGATTGACTTCTGAAGAGATGTTAAAGTTTAAAGAGCGAGGTATTCCATAAGGTGAAGAAGCCAGCTGACAAAGGAATAGTCTGTTAGAATTTACATAAAGAATTAAAACTAGTAATAGATTACATATTTGGGATTGATAGAGTTACCATATAGATCTTAATGTTTTTTGGTTTAAAAAGATGATATATTTAGTATGGATTGGAAAGAGAAGACTAGAGGCA